CTTGTGTGTTTGTAAAAGTGGTGGTATAGTTTTTTAAAACTCATTTGAAGAGATAAAAGGTGTTTGTTTATGTATAAAAAGTTACCAAGTACTCCACTCAACATGTTGCATTTGTGGTAATCTTGTTTTATTAGCAAATGCGCTCCTCTGAATTGAAACATAAAATTATACAAAAAAATTTATTTATACAAAAGAGGAAATTGTCAACATTATACTTGAAATTTGAGTACACTTTTCAGTGGCATTGCCATTGTGCATTTACTGTGTTTCACTTTCAACTGCATTCAAGTCGTACAACTAGGGAACATCCCGGTAACTGCATGCCTGAAAATCCGCAATTTTCAAACATGAATTTAAACCATATTACAAAGAATGCAGAGGTGTAATAGTAAACATCCTACATGACTGCAGCAGAATAATTTTGACAGCTCTCAGATTTTTTTAAAAACTGCATACATTTACTGAAATGCAATGCAAACAACTGCAAAAGCTGCTACCCAAATGTTTCACAGATGCATATTGTATGCAGATTATTTAATGTAAGATCACATAAAATTGTTTTAATACAATTTTGAATTTCATAATCATTACATTCGAAGTTAGAAAGAAAAGTTATTCTGTACCACCCATGCATCTTGTTCGGCTGTTTAGTGCAACATTTTGTAATTTTTAACAAAAAAAAAAAGAAGTTAAGTCATTGTTTACATATGAAAGAGCCAACAAAACATTTTGTACTTTTCCATGGTATTTCTGTCAACAAACTTTGGTCTGGGTTTTATACTTTCTGTGACATTCAATAGGAATGTTTTACCAAATTGAATATATATTTGCTTTTCTAAGTATTCCTTTAAGATACTTTGCAGTGAAAATATAACTGTACTCAACTGAGGTAAAACAAAATGTTTATAGATGGCACATACATGTACCATTTTGTACTTTTGCCTGAAATTGTTTTCTTAAAAATATTCTGACGTTCGTTTTAATACTGAACATATTACATAGACATTGGGGTAATTGTAATTATGCCAATGATAGACAAAATTGGCCTTGTACATGTAGTTCTGTAGAGCATGATGTATAAAAAGGGGGAGAATTTAAATGTAGATGTAGAGCAATAATTTTGTAAATAAGTTATGAACCAAACCCAGCAAAATGAGTCAGGTTTAACAAGCTTTCTTTTTTTAAAGTCACTGACACTTTAACATGTTAGTAGATGTCATCGGGAACTCTCAACAAATTCATTATTCCTTATGATGCCAAATTGGGCAACGTAACCTACAGAAAATCTGCACAAGCTCCATTTCTGACATTTGAAATAACTATTAAGTGGAGTGAATAGAAGTGTCTGAATCATTTTGTTGGTGTTGGTCAAAGTTTAGCAATCTGTTATGGGTAACAGAGTAAGCTGAACTGATCAATCTTAACAGTGCAGTATACTCTGTCCACCCTGGTAACAGGACTGGAGATGAAAGTCTTCCTTAAAACAAACAAAACATAATATGCTGTTGAATGAGCCTGCTTGACTTGTTTAATAGTCATAGAAACACTTAGTCATAGAACGCACGTTACTCAGAATTTAGACCTGGTGCTCTCAGACAAACCAACCTATCTGATAATTGGAATGCTTTAACCAGCCAGTTATCAGCTGCCACCGTAATTCTATCTGAAAATTTGTGCACAGTGAAAGAATACAAAAGTAAAAAACAAGTCAGGCACTTGTAGACGGTGTTTCTACCCAAGTGATCGTTTCTTTCAGAAACATACGTGGCATAAAATTCTTAAAAGATAATTCCCCCTTTTATGTCATTTGCCGTAATTAAATGTATTTTTAATTCAGTTAAAGAATATGCAGTAACAACGCATTGTCATGCATACAGTCATTTCCAATAAAATTACCCTCACAGTACAAAAGACTGTACATATTGAAGCTGAAAGCGCAATGCAATTTTTTTTAAAAGAAAGGTACGTTACAAGATTTTGATTTTTCTATCCTAATAAAAAAAATCTGTATTGGTGTGAAGGAAATAAGAAACCTTGATAGCAGTAAGAAAGTGCAACAAAACCATGAGTTAAGTTCTACATGAATTTCTGTCCTAAACTGCATTTGTCCAGTTAGTCACCAAAGATACATGTACTTGTCACAATTCAAAACATACAAAAAATATACATTCATCGGGCAACTGCTTTGCTACCAAACCCAAATTCTGCGTAATAATGACAGTTCTTAGTAAAATATGATGATATACTTCAGATTTTGTCGTATGTAGGGTTTCAAATGCTAACTTGTCCGTATAATAGTTTCATTACAATGTTCAGAGGGGCTGTACATACCAAAACATAAAGGTCTATGAAGCAATGCAGGGTCCGATTGCTTGCTCTGACCTCACTGCACTAAGGGGCTGTGGAAGAGTTATTCAAAGGGCAAAGCATAACTCCATACAGGTGGATTTATCATTTCTCAGCGTTTCAGAGTATTTTGCTGTGTACATGCAGTCTACGTAAAGGCAAAACCTAAAGGGTCGAAGGGTTAAAGACTACATGGACTGCAGGGTAAGTATCAATAATCTGCATATTAACCCTATGACGCCCGCAGCAAACACTGCTGTAACTGTATGTATTAAATGCCCTCATCCTGTACACATGTTAGGGAATTGGCTCACCCAGAAACTCTACCTATCAATTACAGATTAACCTAGCTGGCAATGTGTAAGTAATGTCAAAACCAGTTCTTTGTTTTAAAATGATATATTTGGGACTCTTAATCAAGAATTTGAATTTGTGATTTCTCCCAGCAAAGGCTGATCCAAAAGATCTAGTGTGGCTGTATGTAATGCATGCATCTGCTGGTAGAGGCTCCAGTTTCAAGATGGTAGGATTCATTTCATAACGAGGCGCCGGCAACACTTCTAGTTGAAGCCTTTCTGCCTAGATACTACATTTCTTTTGGGACTTGTCATGATACGAATGGGGCATTTAGTCAGGGTAAATCAAAACTCGATCAAAATTAAGTATTGGTACAAAAACTAGGACATCTTACACAATCCATATTTAACTTTGCAAAAGACTTTTTGTCATCTGCCAAGTTTTCAATTTCTTCTATCAATTGTTACAGATGGCATAAACTGGCCGAGATGGGATATCAGAGAAAGGAATGACATGGTGCTCTGCGATGGGCGTCTCTACTGGAGTTCCACATAGTTAGCAGGGAACAGCCCTCGGGAACCATTACACGTCCCCATCCACCAACCGCTGTCAATCTGCCAAGAGGTCAGAGGTTATTAAAGTGAAAGTGTGCAGCAGATCAATTAGACTGATTCAAGAGATCAAAAGTTAAAGAGTTCTGGAATTGTCAACCACTGTCAAGTATATATATCTGAAAAGGGGTCAGAGGTCAAGATAAAGGGTTACCATCAACTAGTATACATCTTGCCACGTGTCAGATTGTTGAAAATAGAGGTACAAAGGCCATTCATGTCACATCTGAGAGACTAGCGTGCAACACTCGTGTTTCTTTTTTCCCCCAATTAAACAGGATGTGAAAAAGACAAGATGGCCTCACCTGATCGATGTCAGTGATGACGTCACCGGGGTCAAAGGACACTTCATCATCCCCAGCTGTAAGAAATGTCAAATTATGAAATAAAATAAAGATGAACTATACATGGAGTTTTAAAAGAATTGCCAAGAAATCCCATCACCTGATATACAGGTACAAGCTATGTTTGGCAATATCTGCACATGACCATACTTTGACCTCTCTTCCAACAGAAACCCCCATTTGTCTTATCTCTACATTCTGTTTTGATGTTTAAATTAACTTTTCTTTCTACCCTCATCTTTCACTGGTAGGAAGACCAAAACTGTCTAGCCATGCATGCATCAGTTTGTATGTCAAAGCAAAAAGGGCTACGTAAGCTTTCTATTATTTTGCTACTGCATAGCTATTCTGAGTATCAATATTGATAAGTAATTGACTCACTGGCTTGGTAATCATACACAGCCACAGCTGTCATACCCCCGCCTGATGTGTTCTCAGTACCAGCACCAGGCATGTCCTCATACACTGCATCCTCCACTGGCGGTGACTGCTCAGGTTCTGCGACTGAAAAGGAATGGATGTACAAAAACCCTCAACCTACCACAGCTCCGAAACACACCTCTAAAGTTCAGGTGACTTTCTAAATTTAGAGCACTGTCATGATGAAAGTTCTGTGTGTAATTTCACTCCCTTCCTGGATCTTCCAAAATCCACCATTGTGCAGGAATTCTATCGCTATACTGCATACTATATTCTATCTGTATACTGCAGCTTTCAAAAATAGTAGTGGCAGGGTCTAGCCGTCTTTCTTAGTCCCACAAATTCTTCAAAAAACTTCCGGTGGATTGTGAAGGATGTAGGAGGATTTGGGGGCATAATTTGAACAAAGCCACGATGCCAGGCATGTATTTGCAAAGAGTACAGCAAATGCTTCATCAATGAGCCAGTTGGTGTTTTCAATATTAAGACAAGGTCATTCCGGAACAAAGCCCCTGACATCACACCAGTTGGAACATGTTCAGTGAGTGCGTCCTGTTGCATAGCCGCTCTGATAGCAATGGCCTTGAGCGCACATGCAAATGTTCTGGAATGACCTGTGATGCTGTTCATTTTGAGCATGTGCTGTTTCTGAATACCATTCTCATTCATTCGTATTCATGTACAAAAAGTCATGCTGTTCATAACAACCAAGCACATGCAAGCACCCCAGGCTACCAAGTGCTGTACATGTATGTACTGCAGGACCTGCGGCATGGAGCCAGATAAACTAGGTTCAACCATTGTCCAGCAAGAGCTTATTCACGTTAACATTACCCCTCACACGAGGCAAAGATCCTGGAATTTTTAAAGGGAATGGTCAGAACTTTAATACTTTTATTCCTGAAATGTACTTGGATTTAAAAATAAGCTATACATACACACGTACTTGTACCAATTTCCAAAAGCCAGTTTGCACATGGCTATGCAGCAGTGCTGCCATGAATTTACGTCTCTTTGAAACAAGGACCCATTTGGAGTAATGCACATGAGTACGTATGATTATTAGGAGAATGACCAGTCATGTGAGAGGAATTAACCAATAACAGGTAAGAGTCTGATTTTTACGGAAGTCAGATTTTCATGTGATACTGGGCATTCATACGATCCCGAAGTAGCTTTAAAGCGAAGCGCAAGCGACTGCACTTGTCACTGGTTCCCTCCTTTGGCTGCGTAAAGAGAATTTAGGTTTGTGGGAATCCACAAAATTCGCTCCTCATTTCCTACGTACGTTGTACATTTCGAAGAGTATTGCTTATACTGTAAAAGAGTGGAAAATGGAAATCCATGATATGCTACATTCCATGCTTCAGAGGAAATGCTGACAGCCAACCTATATTGTTAATGTACCAATTTTGGATTCATTTGCCAATAGAAGCTCTACTTGCTGACTGGAATTAATTATTTATTTCCTGGTTGGAAAAAGAGAGGCATACAGAGTACAGGGGCTCCAGGCTCACCCATGGACACATGTTGCCAGTGGTTGGATTTGAACCCCTGACCAACTTTCTGGGTTGGAGTTACGAGCACAATAAGGGTAAAGAGGCTTGCCAAAGGACACAAGTGTGTGGCCAGCAGCTGGATTCGACCCCCCTGACATTCTGGACAGGATTTACTAACGCCAGCCACTAGACCACACTCCCCGGCTAATGGTGTTACTCCTGAGTGGAGAGAGGGGGAGTATATTTAGAGGCTTACGTGAGGATGCAGTTCTGGCCAACAGCTAGTCCATGCTCCCCAGCTAATTCTGGTACCCATATAAACTTCTGCATTGAAAGAGGTAAATATAATAAAGGGGCTTGCCAGCAGCTGGATTCGAACCTCTGAGCTTCTGGCCGGGAGTTACAAAGGCTACACCTCTAAAGGTTATTTGGGCAGCATGCTACCTTTCTGAGGGATTTCTTCATAAGTATCAGCAGGCACAGGCTCTGGCTCGTGCTGGCTGACACCACCTTCGTTTATGTAGTCCGGGTCGGCATACATCTCGTCTGGCTCTGGCTCTGGTTCAGGCTGGGGCTGGGCGCGGGGTGCTGTCTGCCGTGGTGGTGGCAGCGCTGGTGGTTGCTCCTCTTGTGGCTCGGGGTTTGTCTCCCAGTCTTGCTCTTCCTGCTCTTCCGCTTCTAAGGCTCTGTGCTCCTCCTTCAGCTTACGCTGTCGCTCCTAGTAACCAAGATACACAGTCAAATAGTATAACAGGCCTCTTGTACCTAGAGCTCAAGGCATTTAACATTGTATGGTTCAAGAAAATAAAAAACACCAGTCAAAGTAACTGTGGCCAACATTCTTGATGGTACAAATGTTGCCATAGCATCAGATCTTGAAATCATCCTCAGCTGTCCTCTATCTTCTAGCGACCTACCTCTTCGACTTTCTTGGACTCTTCCCTCTCCTTCTGTTCTCTCTCCTGTCTTCTCTGCCTTTCCATTTCTGCTTTCTTACGTTGCTCCTGAAAAATGATGATGCACTGAAAGTCCAGTCTTCACTTGTGTCCACTTTAGCACGGTAAAGCATTTCCAGCAATTGAACAGTTCTCTCTGTTCATTTGCAATGTTACTGCAACTGAGTGCTACAGTTGTAGCCCTAGTATTTTGAAGTGTTCTGTGTACTGACTCATACGTGCCGTGAATGGGCAGTAGAGGGTTGCATGTACACTCTTCACAAAAAGTTACGGACCACTTTTTGTTTTGTGTGTACTTTTTTACATGAGATATTTTACTGCTGAAAATGTGCATTTGATGTTTTGAAACTTTTTTAATTTTTTATTCCAATGAAAAAAACATCTAGACAAACAAAACAATGAAAGAACTAGACCCCACTCATTGCTTGGAAAAAATTACCAGTTATGAAAAATGTCCTTAACTTTTTTGAGTAGTATATGTTAACCTATTCAGAGGCGGATCTAGGGGGGTTGAACGGTTGCAACCCACCCATCCCCCCTCCCCATTCAGCCATGGACTAAATGGAACTACCCAAAAAGAAATCCTGAACTAGGATTGCTTCATCCATCTATCCATAAAAATAATTACATCGATTTGCGGTAGATCCCCTTAGCAGGGCATCCCTTCAGTATTTACATCAACCCCCCCCCCCATTTCCTGAAAGCTAGATCTGTCCCTGCTATTCATGTGGCCAGGAGAGGGTTCACTCTGCAGCCCCACAGACATCAAATCAAACCCTGTGTGAACTGCATAAAATATTCAGAACTTTTTTATCAAGTGATTGCATTTTTCTCTATTTTTTTTTTTCAAATTAATTGTACATACCTCTTCTTCTGCCTTCGCCATATTTTCAAACTTTGCTCTCAGGTTTCCTGCACCACCGGAACCTAGATGGTGAATGATGGGGGGAGAAAATAGAGTGGAGTTTTATCAAAGCCCTGGTTCTCTGGAAACAAATGCCATTTTCCAAATTTCAGTTTTGTCTCTGGCCCCATCTGTGATTGCTGAATCACTTTTGAAAATGTACTTTGAAACTAATTAAAATCATCAGATGGTTTAATGTTTCTGTAGCAGTGATTGGAGCTGCACTGAGCTTGAGGGTCTTACTCGTGGGACTACTGAATTGATAAAATGGAAGTTGAATTTTCACCAGAATGTGCACAGACTGACCTCAAGTAATTTTTATCTGCATGCGCACAGAGTGAACACCACTAATTGTTAGTGGAATGAACACAAATCCTGTGGCATGGGTGTTGGGCACGCAGCAGCAGCAGTGAGGATATTTAATCAAGTGCCGATACCTGTGAAGAAGTCCATATTGTCTTTTATCTGTGACCCCTTACACTCTGATGCCATGCAACACAAACAGGTTTGATTGGCATACTCTGCCAGAAACTGTCCACAGGTACCCCTGGGTTATCCCAAGCTCATACTCACCAGGAGCCACTCTGGTACGCTGATAGGATGACGAAACCCCCTGCATGTCATCAAATGAGCCGGCAGAGGCATCCTGCCTGTCTGACTCCACGCCAAACTTGCCCCCAAACCCCTTGGACATGTCCTTCTGGGAGGGATGGAGCTCCACCTTGCTGGTCTCGTCGTAGCCCAATGCCACCTTGTCTTGTCTGTCTTTCTGGACACCATACTTCCCACCAAAGCCGGTCGCGTAATCTAAGCAAGACACGGAGTAATGGATCAACAAAAGTGTGAATGCATAAACATTAAGTAGGAATCAGCTTTAGCACTAGTTAACAGCTGCTGCACTCTACAGCCTACTCTATGTTTAACTGCTTGCCATCGGTATTATTCCACAACAAACTTGTGGCAGGTGCAATGTTACGTTCAGCTGAAAGACAAAATACCAATAGTTAAGTCCTTGGACTTTCCAAATGTTGAACCTTATTGCTAATTGTTTAAGAGCTGTGCGACAGTTGTTACCACCTCACTTTCTCGAAGGTTTGAGAGAACAGGGCAGGCTTTGGCCTGGTTGAGGGCTCCATACAAAGTCAACCTCAATGAACAAGTTCCAGCTTCTATGTGTACGGACACCGCTTGGTACTGCATGCTTAATTTGTCAGAGATAATGTCCACTCTCACCTTTTTGAGATGCGTGTTTCTCTGTCTTCCCCTCGTACTCAAAACCCACAGCAGCCTTGTCAACTCGGTCTTTCTGCACACCATATCTCCCACCAAAGCCTTTGGAATAATCTTTTTGAGGTAAAAACGAAAGAGCTGTTTATAAAGCAATGTCCATCACAGCCACTTTAAGTGCATTCCTCTTGTGAGCACAGCAAATGTTAGCTGATGTTGGTGAAACATCATGTAAATGTGAAGTCGATCGGTAGCCATCTTTACTTAAAACTGCTTATCTTGGAGTCCATATCAGCTCTACAATTCTTCGAGGCCAGTTACACCAATCAATCACCACGGGCAGAGAAGTACCATTGAGATTTACTAACCACCAGAATCAGTCTTTCAAGGAAACTAAGATGCTCACTAGGCATCACACCCTGTTATGAGTCAGATGTAATACCGGGATGCTTGTCATTAGTCGAGAGTTTCATTTTGTGACATCCGAGAATAAATTTTGGCATTTACATATACCTTTCTGGGACTCATGCTTTGACAGTCCTTGCTGGTACTCCCACCCAACTGCCGACTGAAAAACAATGAACCCCATAAATGTAAAATTACTTGTAATAGTGACAATCAGGCATGCACATCTACAAATATTGGTGCTCAAGGCTCTACATCGGTGTTATCCTTGCTCATCAGGTTAATGAACATTGTTCAATCAATTATTCATCGGGCCTAATTACTAGAGCAGTAAAGCTATACCCTTAGCATTTATCAGCTGTAAACCAATCACAGGTAATATACATCAAACAGCATATCAGCTGGGAAGCTTCTTTTTTTTTCTTTTTGCTTTGATAACAAATGTTTGCTGTGCTATGCCAGTTTCGGAGACTTCCATGCTCCACGGCACTCCACGAGTTATGATGCCTTTAAACCATCTCAGACTTGGCAATACCACATATAATTTTTTTTTACACTCTCCACACACACATGCGCTAAAATGTTTCACAAGGGAAAAAAAAGATGCAATTATTACTTTGTCTTGCTTGCCTTTCTCAACTCCATATTTGCCACCAAAGCCAGTGGAGTAATCTGTAGGGGACAATGGGGGAAAGTGTAACAGGTTAAGCAAAACATGAGACAATCAACCAGCTCTGTCTTTCTCAAACCGAATCAAGCAAGATCCATTTTTTCTAAAAGGCATTTCAGAGTCCACAGTTTTTTCCCCAGTAGCAAGTCACCAAGTTGCAGTTTTTCAAAATAACAGGGCTGTGTGTGTGGAACATATTGGAGTTGGTATGCATAATTATGTTACACATATTAAAACAATACAATTACTTCTTATATTACAAAGCCAATGAACTTCACATGATTTTGAGTTAAAAAACATGTTGGCATTAAGCTGAGCAACGTGTCTGGGAGAAAAGTCTGATTCAAAACAATTTTAAAATAACTCAAAACTATAACAAATAGAGGCCAATTACACTTATAGTCATGAAATTGACTTTTGTATTAGCTGGCATAACTCTGCCCTGCAACTATCTGCAGCTGGGCCATCATTCTTTGTCCTACCTATCTGCGAGGCGTGCTTTTCTGTTTTCCCGGCATAGTCAAAACCCACAGCCGACTTGTCCACGCGCTCGCTCTGCACCCCGTACCTGCCGCCAAACCCTTTGGCGTAGTCCTTCTGTGAGGCGTGAGCACTAAGCTTCTCCATGTGTTCGTGACTCATGGCCGACTGCAAAGTCAACAAAAACAGCCCATGAAACACAAAACAGTTGCAACACTGCAAAGTGAGCAATCACTAAGAAAACCTCAACAATCTTGAGCAAACAAAAAACAGTACGATAAATTCAAACTGACAATTTTTTCCCATTGCCAAACAGGAGAAATAATTTCAAGTGATTTTGCACCTTTCTAAGCAACATACATACATCCAAATTATGGGTGGTGGTGGGGGGGGTTACATTGTTTAACTCCCTCAAGGAAGTATCGAGCTACATGCTGCCATTTGGTGACATTCACCCTGCACCTATATTGTGTACAAGTAGGAGAAAATATGGGCATCTTGCCAACTCCACCCTGTATGCTCCAGTTTTTGTTAAGTCAATTTCGTCAAAGCTTGAGTGGCGCAATCACAGCTTTCACTGGACAAAATAAATCAGTGTCTTCATGACCCCTGCACCCATTCATCTCCTGCGTGACCTGCATCGTTGACCACTTGCAAACGGTTCGCATTTCACAATGAACTGGCCTAAGGAATTTTTCCTTCAAATCTTTCACTTTTTTTAAAACGACACAATTGATTTTTACAAATTAATGGTATACTGTATGCAATATATGGTATGTTGACCAGTTCTCAAACTCACGGGTAAGTACGACACAACACATAATTTTTGAGAGTCATCTGTACAGGATTTGGAACATTTCTCACACAGGTGTTACTTTGCCTTAGAAGCCAAGTACATCATTCCAGTCCAAACTCTACCACACAGTCACCTCAATTGACTTTAACCACTTCATGCTGGGGCATTTTTCAATGTTGACGATGCTGGGCCGTCATGACTACCATTTTTTTCCCGTGTTTTCAAAATCCTTCAAAAATTCATCATTTCATTTAACGGTCGTTTATAGCCACACGAAGTAATTTTTAGG